AGAAGCAGAGAGACCAGAGAACCGCTGCGGGACAGCGCAGGCAGGTGCCATCCCCTGGGAGGGGACACAAACCCGGGGACTGCAATCACCCAGCACGGGAAGGGGGACACGGGGAGGTGTCTTTACCTGGATCTGTTGCTGCAGCAGGTTGATTTTGTGCTGCTGCTGGATGAGCTGCTGCTGCTGCTTGGCGATCTGGCAGAGGGGAGACAGGGGAGCTCAGCGGGGGCAGTGCCGAGCTGGTCCCGGCGGGGCTACAGCCCAGCACGAGCTGCCCAACATCGGTAAAATGGACACAAGGGGTCTGCAGAGGGACACCAGGGCTGTGGGGAGGGCAGGCAGGGGGGGGCTGAGACCCCCCTGAACCACCTCGAGGGGCATGGGGAGAGAAATGTGCTGGGAGGGACGGTGTCACTGCCACCCCAGGGTATGCTAAAGGGTGTCATCCCTGCGCTTAGCACCCTATGCGCCACCGGAGAGGAAAACAAAGGTGTTGAAAGAGCAAAGAGAGCACAGTCAGGAAGGACCCAATGTGGTTTATATTATTTTAAGGAGTGCAATTCCCATTTCCTTTGACCCTCTTCCTCCCAGCACCAGGGAGCGAGATGGGCAGTCTTCGGGACAGGCACAGAGAATCGTAGAGGTTCTGGGCTGGCAGATTAGTCCTGCTGGCCCTGATGCCAAAGCCACCTCCCCACCACTCCCAGGGAGACCCTGTCCTGGATCCAAATCCCAAAGGGATGGCTGGTCCCTTGCAAACAGGGACCCGCGCCCACCTGCTCTTGCTGCTGCCGTGCCAGCTCCATCTGCTGCTGTTGCTTCTCGAAGAGCATCGCGGCCATGTTCTTCTGCTCCGAGTGGGCCGTCAGGAGCTGGTCCCGCAGCGTGGACAACTGGTTGATCATGACAAGTAACTGGAGCTCCTTCTCTGCCAGGCTCTCCTGGGTTCCTGGAGGAAACCAAGAAGCTGCAGGTCAGGGGGAGATTGGGCAGGGTGGGCAATGCATGGCCAGGGAAAGGCTAACGGGCAGGTGGCAGAAAGATCCCCACGTGCTGAACCATCCCCTCTGTGCAGCCAGAGAGGAGCTGTCATCAGGGATGTTCATGCCCCTCTCCTAAATTCAAATTAATATTTTGGTTAAAAAATACAAGTTGCTATTAAATCCACACACGTGCAGGCACACTTCCCCTCCCACTGGGGTGGGAAACGCCACATTTCCAGCCCAGGCTGAGCTGGCAGAGGGTGCAGGAGGGAGGATGGTGGAGGTTGGTGACCGAGGGAGACCTCACCTTTCACTTCCTTGGACTCGGCGGGGGTTCCCGCCCCCCCAGCCGCTCCTTCCAGTCGCTGGACAACAACTTCTCAATGGTTGGCATCACTGTTCGCACCGGCAGGGACCGGGGTCAGCAGAACAGGGAGAAGGAGAGGAGAGCCAGGTGAGCACAGCCTGAGGCTCATCCCACCCCACAGCTTTGGAAAAATACCGAGGGAGCTTGAGGAATCCCGGGAAGCAACTCGGAAACCTTTCTTACCCTCTTTCA